TTTCTCTGCAGTTTTAAGTGCTTCTACAGCTTCAGACTGCTTCAAACCACTCTCAAAATTGGATGAAGCCAATCTAGCTTGAGCAGACAACAGGACACCCAGTAAGCAGTTTGCTTTGCTTACCATATAACCACATCTCCCATGAAATTCAGAAAGTGCCTTGTGTGCCCAATTGATGCCTTCTTGAATGCAAATCATATTCTCCCCACAAATTTTAGAAGCCAGCAACAATTCTAAGATGCAATCTGGAATCTCTCTGTCATTCAACAAATTGCGCAGAAGATTTAAAGCAATGATGGCCTCACCCTCCCCATAGTAACAAAGAGCTAGACTGCCAAATCTTTCTTTTCTTTCCATGATCCCTGGAAGCAACTCTTCAACCTGTTGTGCTAGGGTATTCAGTTCCCCAGAAACACATAGGGCAAAAGAAAGATGATCCAGGATGGATGGATCCCAGCCAATCTTTTTAAGAATAAATTTTCTTAGTAGAATTAGTAACAGAAGAATAGCCTCTTCTATGTTGTTTCTTGGCACAAGGGAGCCTTCCAATTGTGAATGGAGATTAGGAGGGCTTGCATCAGTACCACTGTACAGAAGTAAAATTGCAAATTCCTTTTCAATATTTGATTTGGTTTCCATATCAAGATTCCAGTGATAGAGGAGAGCCTGCCGGTATGACATGATAGCTTGTTGGGGATCCCCAGAAAGTTTCCACAACTCTGGAAGCAATTCCACAGCTTTGTTTAGAATTTCTTGTAATTTACAATCAGTGGAGAAGTCTTCTGGCAGCCCCTCTGGCAATGCAGATTCAACAGTGTCCAAGACAACCTTACATGATTGAGCAGCTTCTGCAAAATGGGTCAAGAGAAAACAAATACAGTAATCATTATAAAACTGAACCATAGAAGAAGGCTAAGGTTTCTACAGAAAGATCCATGACGTTAGAGCCATAAAGAAGTGAAATCCATCATTATATTCTTAATGGTAACATGAAATCTTTCTTACTTTAAATAGTCTTCTTTAAAAAAAAATCTATGAGATGGAAAATGTTGAAGAAATAATGACATATTTAACAAATTGAAAGGCATACCTACAAACCGTCCAAGCTTTTGCAATGACTTTGCTTTCAGGAAAACAGCTTCAAGGAGTAAACTAATAGCGTGCAAAGACATGGGAGGAGGACCATCACTTTGTGAACAATGACAATTTTGTTCATATCTTCTAGAAAGGGAGATTTTCATCTTGGAAGTCACAGCAGCAAGATCTATTCCTTCAAATACATGAATAGCAGCTTCTACATTTCCTTTTTGATACTCAAGTCTTCCTAACAATGCTCTTGCTTCCTGTACAATTAATCTATGATTAGATTCATTACATATAAGAGGGAGAAGGGAGATACTATCAGTTTAGGATGTAAGCATCAAAAAGTCAACAGAACCTGGAGATTTTCTCTCTGAATGCAATCAGCATATACTCGAAAAATTACTTCATTCTTTTTGTTGGACATTTAACCATTTCATGGTAACATTTAAAAAACAATGCAGGACAAAATCAGTCACAATATCTATGAGTCAGAGGTCATGACTATAGAACTCCCAAATTAGCTAGTTTATCTATTTTTGATGATGAATCACTGGTATGTTCTACCAAAAAAAAGACAATAAAAAAAATGGAAAAGAAAAGGACATGAGGAAGCTCTGAAGATTATTCAAGATTATAAGCCTATAACAACCACGGTATGCAGACTTACTATGCTTCACTAATGAACAAGACCAAATCCCTGGGCAGAAAAGAAGCTCCACAAGCTCAAGGATATTAGATTGAAAAGCAGAACTTCCAAAAGCTCATGAAACCCAATGAACCCTCTCACAGGGGACTGATAACAAAGTACTACTTTAGACTTTCCAGGTGTACCTTCCTATAGGTTACTTTAACATGCTTCCTTTGCATTGCAACAGACATCACGAACAGAGAGGAAAAACCAGCACCAAAATACCCGACCAAAAATAGATACGACAAATTCACTTCACCATTTTTATGTCTAACTTCACATCATTCAGTTCAGAAATTGAGTTCATAAAACATCTACTTCTGTCTCCTATAATGACAATAATTCTATCTAGCGGGGCATCAATTAGCCAAACACTTCTGTCTTGCACAAGAAAATGAAATGATGAAACATTTGAGAACAAAAGTCCCTTGTCAAAATGGTATTAGGGAAAAACAAAATTGTTCCTGAGCAGAAGAATTCTCTCAAGTAGATTCCTCAATAAAATTGCTGTTCACCAAAAACGTACTCAATACAAAAATGGACTAAATTTATGGTATTGTGTGATGAACTGCAGTAAAGAAAGAAAGCTAAAGGACAAAGAGAAAGAAATGTGAGAGTGAAGAGAAAAGAATTTAACTGCAAGTGCAACCAACCTCATAGTTCAGGTAGCCACTTTCTCTAAGAGATGACTCAGCTTCTTCAATGTTGCTATTATCTACCTTGGTTTCCCCAACCTCCCAAGCTCTAGTAGAAGAATATCCACTTGCTGAATAGTCTCGAGTTGCCAGGGATTCAGATGAACGAACACTTTCTGAAACTCCCAATTGTTGCCCTGACCAGATGCACTTCATCATTCTCCACAACCTCCCTTGAAAGGCAAATTCCCACTTATTTATCCAATTCTTCAATTTCATGATGTTCCGTTACAATTGAATAGATAGCACAAAAAAAAAAAAAAAAAAAACAGAAGCAAAATTAGAACTTCTACAAAACAAAAAGTATCATAACCTCAAAGCATGATATGAAAAAGCAAAGAGTCCAGATACCGGTGAGCTCTTGAGCCTCAATAGTCAACCTTTTACCCAATGAGAAGATGGTATTAACCTTCATAGTCTAAAGCACTGTGGAATTGTCAAAGACAATTAGACCCATAATTTATAAATTTAGCCTAATATTAGGGTGCCAATAGCGTTTCAATTCAAATACTCAATACCAAGAATTGAAAGGCCATGTTTTATCTTGAAAAAGGGGAAAAAAGAAGCCATATTTCTGCAATCCCACTTAAGAAATCCAGCATAGCCAGCAAATTATAGGGGTTAGGATTTAGGAACTTAGCTGCCTGTTTGGTGGTGAAAACAAAACAAAATGACAAAAAACAGAGGAATAATGCTAAAGCAAGGGAAATTCAGTGTCAATCACGCCACAAATCAGCTAAATTCCAACAATGAAAGCTATGGCTGAAAGCAAAACACAAGCTGGAAAACAGCCATTGCATCATCATATCATAGGAGAAAAAAAAGACCAAATGGTGTTAAAAACAATCCAAAGAAAGTACCTTTTTGTAGAAAGCAAGCTTTGACTGAGCCCACCGGAGAGCAACATCATTGTGACTATCAGCATCCAATCAAGAAGAGGCCCCTTGATTTTCCTTCAGCTTTTGAAGTTTACAGCTTGGCTGCATAAATGCAGTCCTAAATGGTTCCTGTTTCTGTCGTAGGTGTGAAATGTGTACGCCGAGGAGGCTTCTAAAAGACAGGAAATGATCAGGTTTTTGAAAAACATGTCCTTGGCCCATTTTGAAACGAAATCTTCTCCTTCCCACTTTGGTCAAACTGCCGGCACCATGCTGCTTCCCTTTCTTTCTCTCTCCACTGTTTTCTGAAATAATTGCATCATGAAATGGTAATCCTTTAATTGAAAGACGTAAATATAAACCAAAGTCCAACCTCAGTGCACTCCAGTAACCCAAACTGTTGAATACGGAAATAACTCTTAATATCAATAAGTCTGGCCCATTAAATCAACACTTTTTTTTGTCTAAACTAATTTTCCCAGTGCAGGAAAAAGAAAACTAAAGAGAAACTTTGGCTCTATTTGAAAACATTTGTAGCAAGGTTGTCAAAATTGAGATTTTAC